CTTATTGCGGTGGCTCATGTCGTCGTTGAGGTCACGAATCCAGTCGCCGAACAGAGCAATCGTCATCCACGCCTTACGGTTGCTTCTGTAGAGAAATGACATTTCGGTCAAGTCAATGTTGCCAAACGCGCGCGGCCTCGCCGACTTGCCGATGATCGTCAAAGGTCGTTTATCACTCCCGTCCGCGTTCGTCGCCACGACCACGGTAACTCGCCGCTTATCCTTCTTCATGCCATTTTGCAGTTTATCCGATATCGTGGTGTTTGGTTGGAAGTTGTAGAAGACGCCAGTCTCATCCATGTTGTAGATGTCGGATCTTTCGTACAACGACGTATCAACGCGCAGTCGATCGCGGCCAAACTCGACAACTTCACGATCGACAGATGCAGCTTCTCCGTGGAGCCGAACCATATGGAGGCCGCGTCGTTGTTGAAATCGGTAGAGCCAGCCCTTCGTCAGGACAACGGAGACATCAAGGGACATGTTTTCGGCAAGTTGCTGGGCCTTGCGGAGGATGATGCTGCCGGTTAGGCAGCAGTGTCGATCGTTGGCGCGCTTAATCCAAATATATAGTTGCTGTTCAAGCTCGGGGTATCGTGGTGGGAGGATATTGCGTCGGGTTTCCGCCGTTTTCGTGGCAATAAAGTTTCATTGTCTGGTATCCTTCACCAAGCGCAGAAGAGTTGTGCGGTGAGGTGCGAAGCCAAACTGTTCAACAACCCAGGGCCGCAACAGGGACATGTTTGCTGGAGTGATCTTCTTGTAGTATTCACGGATCACTTGCTTCTGGTGCAAGGTCAATCTCTTGCTCGGCCCAGGCATTTCAACTGAATATAGAGCTGTGTGGCACAGAACTGTCATCCTCCACTGTGTGCCCATTTGGATTTTCAAATGAAGGACACGGTCAAATTCAAAACCAACTCCAAACCCTTCATACGTTAGTACGTTTTCCAAATCGAGTTTTGAAAGATATTAAGTTTCAGTGGTGTGCAAAAGTCGATGGATGACTGTAGCATAGCAGGAACGAACGAGGCATCTGTCCATGCGGTCGCTGTGGCAAGGAACACGACGTTTACTAGCTGTGCCCCCCTCCGCATTGTGCCCCATGCGCATGTCGTCAAGCCTCTCTCACGGAATACACAGGATAAAGCCTACTTAGGTGCATCTACTCGACGTGGTCGAAGCAATGACCGAAGACGATCTCAATGTGGCGCGTATGCATATTCGAATTTTGCTGTTTCCAGTATGTTTGGTAGTTTGACTGGGGCGGTCACCTCCACAATAGTAACGGAGGTGTACAAAGGACTAACTCCCTCGCAATACGGACCATATGTCAATAGTGGCAATAGCAAACTAAATCCAAGAACAATGGGGAATAGAAATATCAAATACAACTTCAATATTAATATAATCCTGGCTTAAATTGACGGTTTACAAAGACTATTTCGATTGGTAATCCAGGGACTGTTGATGGATT